GTTTTGATGTCTGTCACCAGGTAAAGACAACTTTGGGTGACTTTCAGTTCCTGTTCTTTGACTTGGTTCTGGTCACCCTGTTAGCCATGGCGATGGGAGGAGGAGGACCCAGTGAGGAGCTGCAGTCCAGCAGACCTCCAGCCACTCTGCTGGCCCTGCCTGTGTTTGGCAGCCTCTTCATTCACACTTGCATGATCGTACTGGGCCAGTTGGGTGCATTTTTTATTACCACCTCACAGGGATGGTGAGTAAAGTGAATGAAAACTTTGGTTTTGAATTTTCCATTTTGGCAAATCTCATGACTTTATACACTTGTGTTTATATATTTTTTTTTAGGTATATTCCACTTAATTCAACAGTGTTTGGAACAGATAACCTGCCCAACATGGAGAACAACAGCGTGTTTGATTTATCTGGTTTTCAGTACATTTTCTTTGCAGCAGTGGTTACCAAAGGCTACCCCCACAAAAAACCTCTCTACCGTAACTGTGAGTCATTCGATAAATCGACTTTATGTGTAAATCTGCAGTGCCCTATCATCACTGCTATTAACTGAAATATTTTGTAAAACCTAAATCATAAAACTTTAAGCATTTTATGACATCATTTTACAATCTGTCCAGGGAAGTTTGTCTGCCTGCTGCTGATCCAGTCGGCTGTGATGGTGTGGCTCGTGGTTCATCCGGTTCCTTGGTTTAGTCAGATACTTCAACTGTATGACTTCCCTGATCTGACCTTTAGACTCCTGCTTATTGGCGTAGCTGTAGTCAACTTTCTAATTTGCATCCTTACCGAGGTGAGTTATAACATTCAACTGCTACTTGCATTATATTGGGTCATTCGTTAAAAATATGTGCAGATATACTATGTTAAACCTAACAGAGTTGAAGTTTATGAAAAGGTTTGATGTTCAATAAATTAGAGCATAAGTGGGAGGGTACATACAGTTTTCAGATTGTTTACCTGGGGAAAAATAACGACCATGTCTAAAATAAGGCCCAGAACATACTGTGCTTATAGAAGAAGCTTAGTCTCACAGTGTTTGAAGCAAGATGTTTCTGTCATTTTCTGCAAAAGATGATTATTTACATCAGGAAAACTAAACCAAAATGTTCCTTTGCTTCTCTTTTTACAAAACTCAGCTCCTGATGATAGAAAGATGAATGTTACAGTGAGGAAAATAAGTATTTGAACACCCGTCTAGCTTTTTTTAAGCAAGGTTCCCAATTAAACCAGCACATGTCAAGGCCTGACTTAAGTTTGCAGCTATGATCACAATTTCAGACCCCTCCATGATTTCTAAGTAGGAGAACTTGCAAAATAGCAGGGTGCTCCAATACTTATTTTCCTCACTTTAAGTCATGCTTGTCACATTTTGCCTTTGCAATAATTTTGCCGGTTTTTTGGTATTCAAAAGAATATGTGTGTAGACTGCCTGGGTGTATTTCATAGAATAGAGCTATTGATTGGCTTAATGTTGCTTATTCGTATCTGACATGTTTAATTAAAAAATCTAATTATCAAAAGTAGAGTACTTTCCAAAAGGAAACTTATTTCAAATGTCATCCTCTCAGTGTTTCACACATCAAAAACGTTTTTTTTTTTTGCAGATGCTGATTGATTGTGGCATGCTGAACTTTCTACGTCTGCTACGAGGGAATCGTCCATCCAAGAAGCAGTACAAGCGTCTGAGGGCTGCTCTGTCTCGCTGTACAACATGGCCGCCACTGGATCAAACTCTTAACCCCTCAGACAACTCTATCATCCCCCTCAGCTAAAATTCCTTTAGACTCACTGAGCTTTTACTGTCACACCCTGTGATAACAATTTTTAAACACATAATTGTATAAATGTTAAGAATCTTTTTTTACAAAACATTTTAAAACTGATATTGGAGTTTGCACTGATCCTCTGAAAAGCAATATTTTAGATACAGCACACTACAGGTTGAAGATTGTGTTGGTATGTGAGATGTAAGATTTTAGGGTAGAATTACTTCTGCCTTCTTATATGTATATATTTTTTCATTTAATCACAGTGATCACAAGATACTTTTACTTAAAACATGTCATTCTATTTAGTTTTACATTTATTTTGTATGGAGTTTATTTATATGAGAAAATACAAAGATTTCTATTGCTGGTTTTCCTTATTTAGGAGAATATCAAGTGCCTGCAGTTAAAACAAGACGTCATATTTGTGTATATTGGGTAACAAACCTTTAAAGGGATTTTATGTTCTACATACCTAGAAGTGAGTGAATTTTTATACCAGCCAGGGGATTGAAAATATAAAAAAGTAAGCACACAGTATGTGATTTTTAGTAAATCAATTTATTAAATCAGTATTTACAGGCAGTTTATATTTTCTGTTCTTTCTCTGCCACTAAGATTTCCTCAACTAAAATCTCTTCAATAATATTGATAATTCCCCCCTTTAAATATTTTCATTATTTAAAAACCAAAAAGAATAGAAATCAACAACCAGGAAGTAAAGATGTGATACAGGAGGCACAAGCTGAAGTTAACCCATTACCACAAGTCTTTGTGTGATCATGATCTTACACCAAGTATGGCTTTGAGATCTCCTCTGAACAAATAAAAGGTGAGAAACATAAACTGGGCACAACGGTCCGGGAAAGCCACGCGGTCGAGTTCTCCAGTTCATAACCTGCCGCTCCGCTCCGGATCAGCAGTTACTGAGCAATCCTACTAAGAGGGAAGTTACAGTTCTGACATTGGGACGCAAACTATTTCATTTAAGGACAAGCAACGACTTTACATTGAGACAGCAACCTCCTTTCCGTTACATTTAGCTCAACAGAGCACCATTTTTAAGTGCGAACCGCTAGTTAAATACTCACAGTCTGAGAAAACAAACCCACTGGAAAAATACAATCTTCGTTCATTTCATTCACATGGACCTGAGTTCATTATTTTTACTTCAGAAGAGGATGGGAAGAAACACAATAGCATTTATTCTTTTCAAATTCCTGCCAAGACCATTTTTAAAATCATAAAAATGAAGCCCCTTATGTTTTTTTTGTAAATGGGCTTTTGGTTTATCTAAAATACTGCTCTTATACTGCTGCCGTTTCAAATAAAAGGGCAGAAAAGCTACTTGAAACCTGACTTAAATCCATTTTCTCCTGTTCATTCTTATTTACTCTTAAATAGAAAGTATGCAACTGTCAAAGACAGACAGCTAAAAGCTTAAAAAAAAGTAAACAAAACTTGTCAGATATATGCTTGACACACACACACACAACCCCTGACCTCCGATTTTAAAAACAAAAGGCAGTTTCTATATTAAGGTATGCACTGATACTTTTAACAGTTTCCCACATTGAACGTATATTTAATACACAACCGGCTACAGGCAGGAGAGCTTATTTAAGCTACCGTTCTACCTCCAGACCAGAACGCAGAGAAAAGTGATTCTCATTTCCACTATTCCAATAAGCAGACTTAGTGGTGTGTAAGAACTGATCCTTATTTAAAAGCTATCAGTGCATCCCTTCAGTAAAGACAAGTGATTAAAAGAAATTGATGAAAAGTGAAAGCTGGTGTTATTGCTGGGAAGAAGCTGCTGTACATGAACCAGCTGATCTAGTTTTAGGACCCCTTATTTCACCTCATCTTTGAACTGTTCAAGTCTTTGTTTGCTCTTCCTACATCCCTAGGCAGACAGAACTAAAAGCAATAAAAAAAAAATAAAAAAGATGGAGGCTGAGGGGCGTCTCTTAAAGGGGGATGATCACAGTGAATCCAGAATATGTCCATAATCACAGTGCCAAATGAACATGAACAGGGGAGAGAGGCGAGAGCTCCTTTAAGTTTGGCTTCCTCCTGGAGTTCCTCGTTCCCTGACTTTCTCACAGACTGCTGATATGAGGGAACTAAGGGAAGGACCTTTTAAGAATACAGTATGCGTTTGATCTCAGGCAGCTCTTTATCCCTCTCTCCCCTCCATGGCTGGGTCGTCCCAGAGGCCTGCTTATCTGTGCTGTCGGAACCCCTGGGTGCCATCTGGGCCGGCGGGCTGCCGGACAGTGTGATTGTTAGATCTGGTGTCCTCTGAAGGCATTGTGGAGTTATTGCGCGCTGGCCTGGGAGCAAAAAGGAAAACAGGACTCAATTAGAAATCATTTTTTCCTCCTAGATATAACAGTATACTATTCTGTATGCTTCCAGATAAATGCAGAATCCCTTAAATCTTGCTTTAGATCTCACTCTGCAGGAGTGATAGCTACTCCAGACCTTCAACCTTCAAATGTATTTAATCAGTTATTCCTTAGCTCATTTGACTTTTTTGTCCAATGTGCAATTGATATATATATATATATATATATATATATATATATATATATATATATGGCGTGTGTGAATTTTTAGGGCCCTTTTGCATTAATATGCACCATGGGATGCAGTGATACAAGTGTTTCAATCATCAGGCAGTTTCATATAAAACACCACCACCAAACTTGTAAACGACTTATCCTAAAATGGTTAATCATTTAATGGATAGTAATGGTATGTTGTTAAATCATAGTGATTACACTAACAAATTTGATCTGAACTGTTCTTGTAATGAATATTTAAAAGTATGTAGAGCTATCCCTGTAGCTCTGATCCATCTCATCCAAAACACTCTACGATACTCAAATGTCACTTCATCTTTACCCAAATTAAAAATTGGAGAATATAGTGTGACCGATTCAAAGTGCAACAATGTTCTGCTTGTGACTGCCTTCAAATCTCAATTATTTAATGATTACAATAATAATATCTTGATAACAACCAATCTGTCTATAATTGAGAATGCGTTCTCCAAGTACGTAAAATGGCCAATTTCACCAAAGGTTAAAGAAACTCATTTCAAAATTTCTCACAATTTTTACCCAGTGGCTGAATTTTTGCACAAAAGATTTAAATTTGATTCAGCATGTTGTGCCTTTTGTGATGGTCCAGAAGAATCCCTTAATCATCTTTTTTTTCCCTGTCCCTTTTCTTTTAAACTATGGAGCAACGTTAAAAATTGGTTATCCCTTAAAATTGATGACATTCCTGAGATAACCATCACCCACATTTTATATTATATTGATGGCCTTGATAGTAAAATATCTGACATGGTTAATATTATCTTTTTACTTGTGAAATATCACATACACTGCTGTAAATGGAGAGGTTCTACTCCTTG